AAGAAACGAAGTAGTGTGTGTGTGTGTGTGTGTGTGTGTGTGTGTGTGTGTGGTGAGAGAGAGAGAGAGAAAGAGTGTGTGTAGGTGGAATTGAATTAATGGGCTCAATTGTTACTCGTTGCGCGATTTTCGTAGTGTAATTCGTTCATCGGATTACATGTTGACAGATTTCCATTGTGTATAAAATATACAACAAGTTGTAATCCCGAAAATAGAGAAACAGCTCTGGCTCCGAAACTAAGGCTACAGAATTAAGGCTAAAACAAGCTCAAACAAAAGCCGTAATTGAAGTTGAAGCAAAAGCTAAATATAAGTCTGTAGCTCGGGAGATTTTCATCTCTGATTCGCATTTTCTTGGAAAATTCTCGGTTCAGACGGTTGAAAATAATTTTTAATTAATAACAAAAAAATACATATCTGTATACGTACACACGCTATCCATTTTTTTTTCCTTTCTCTTTTCTTGCTCTTTTTTTCTGCTTTGTTACTTTACATTTCTTACAGATAAAATATGTTCCTTTATGCATCATTAATATTTACTTCCACCATTTTCGCACAAACATTTCTCTATAATTGAGAAAACGAGAAAGTATATTATAACTAATAGGATAAATCAAATAAATGGAAATGTATTTTAGCTTCGTCGCTTTTAATAAATGTTGTAGCAACGGTCGCTTTTGAAATTTTATACCGACGGTGCCAACGGACAGGCATATAACTTCGTCCCCGCGTACAAACCGGAAATCAAAGAATATCGGGAAATGAATTATTCCATTTCCGGCGTCCACGGCTCCGTTTCATTAATTCATTTTCCCTCGGAATTCTATAATCTCTCTGCTATATCATCCATTATTTTGCTATGCAGATGACGACATAGTCTAAATATTGGATTTCAATGTACAAACAACAACATTGCATAATGCAATATCATTGCAAAGGATGTATACTTGGATTTAATCGACAAAAATGATCGAAATTAATATAAATTATTTATTAATTATAAAATTGAAGATAAGATACACATGATAATATATTAAAATTAAATTTTAAATACCGAAGAATGAAGCACTTGCTTTATAATTAAATATAATTGTAAATTTAATTAAATATATTATTTTATCAAAGAATTGATATGGCTGTAATTGACATGACTATAAAAAAATATATAAAATAAACTATTTGTAAATTTGTTATGATGAATATAATGAAAATAATGAATGTAATGAATATATCATACTTGATGATACTGCACAAACATTTGCTCATATCGATTTAAATTGACCTTTACATCCTTATTTGAATTTCTCTAAAAACGGTCTCTAAAAAGTTAATTCTTTGTTTT